GTTAGTATACATGTATGACCAGCCTATTGCTGATTTTAGGCCAATGGCTGATTTTAGGCCTTCAGTGTGTAAGCAGGGCTGCCCCTGACATCTCCTCCCTTCTCTAAGTATAGAAGGGCTGTGGCAATTCTAATAATGATTTGAGAAAAAATAAATAAATTATTTTAAAAAATAAAAATAAAATACATTTAAAAAAAAGAAAAAAAATTGTTTCAAATTTCAAAAGTTTTCAAATGACCTAGCACATGTTTATTACTGCTTTCTGTTTCTAACTAATGGACATAGCCAACAAAGATATAGTAGTAGAGTGAGCACTACAGAATAGATACAATGCTAAGATATTTTAATTGATGCATGATCATTTTAAAGGTTTTCATCATGAATTTTTGGTCCTTTTTATCATCTAGTCTGTAGCAGGAAGTATGAGAAAAGGAACCTGCAGACTTCCCGTGCTACTGCTGTTCCCTCTCTGTCTCTGTGTGATCCCACCATTTACTCTGGGGAAGGGGGGGTTGGGGGGAATGGAGCTCCTGTGTTCCCTTTGTTGCCACAGCAGCCCCACTCAATGACCATCCACCCTGCGGTCAGCCACCACAACACTCATTTACCTGGTAGAATCAAAACTCTTGAAGCTTATAATTTACCAGTGAGATTTATATATCAACAATTCTCAAATGACAAGATGCCCTCACAATAATTTCAAGGCCATTTGGTAGTAGCACAAGCTGCCCACCTAGAATAGACAAGTTATCCTAATCATCCTATCCCTATATGAAATTACATCTACCTATGTCTAGCTAAAGCCACACTAGTTCAGGATCTTCTTCCTGTCTGTTTTCCATCTTGATTCCACTTCCCTCCCTCCCTGTGTCCCTCTTTCTGCAACTCTTAGCTCTGTCTCCCTTTTCCTTGTCCAATCACAGGCCTCCTGCTGCACTAACAAATATCTAAATAGATTGGACAAGGGAAATTCCTGCCACACTAATCCATCTGCCATGCCTCTCTTTCTGCCACTGATACCTTCTTCTGAAGAAGTCTACCTCCTCCTACCCTGTCCTTTTTTGTGCATGACCCATTAAGCTTAATTGGAATTTCTTGCCTGAGTGTGAGAAAGTTAATTGCTGGAATAGGGGAAATTTATCTATGGCTATGGTATTGAATAAAATGTTACTTTTTTTGTCAATAGTTTTCATTAGCTAATAGTTCCCAGAGATTTGTGAAACTTCACAGATCATTCTGACATCCATTGAATTGCTCCTGTTGCTTGATGATTCTCTGGTCAGATGTGAAACAATCCTATCCCAGTTGTGTCGCCAATGACAGCAAAGTGAAGCTTCATGAAACAGTGTGATTCCTGAGTTTACTTACAGAAAAATATAATGACCCAAGAAGTTACATCTCTAAAAACAAACACAAGTGTATATGGAGACTCATGAGGTTGCATGCCTAGAGCTCCCTGTCCATAGGGGCTTTCACCATGGAGCCTCCTTCCTCTCAGCAACTGTACTACCTGTTAAACATAAAGTAGGGTCTTATTAGTCCTGAATGCTCAATGAGCTTCCTGAAGCTCGTGAGTTTCATTCACTTTCTTAGTCTTAAAAAGTTACCTTTCTCAATGTAGGCAGCACTGTTCCAATTTTGAATAAATACCTTCACAGCAAATACTACACATGGAATATTCCATGTCTGACCTCTTGAGATGTGTTATGGTCATAATATATTGATGAAAGTATTTTGTAAAACTACTTTCAAGAGTATGTATAAAATTATACATAAAACAATATATTTTGTGCCTATGATTGAATCCTGTAACTAAGATGTTTCTTTATGTACATACAAATGTTCTAAACTCTAGGCAATATTCCCTAATCCAGAACACTTTTAGTCTCAAGCATTTCAGCAAGGGTATATAACCTATATTGTGATACTATAAAAATTTGTGTAGAATATCCTTAAGGTGTCTTCAATTCACAAGTGGAACAGGACGTACTGCATGTCTTAAAAACTAAAATTTTATCTGTCAGTATGTAGGACAAAAAGAATTCTATATTTTTATTGTTAGAAGGAGAGTAAAGATTGCAATGTCTCAGGGGGAGACTGAGAAAATCCGGTTGGCCCAGACAGTTTACCTTAGCTTAGGAAACATTGGAATATCACCATCTGAGAGAACAAGTATTTATCCAGCAGTCTAGATCAAGTGACATGCCAGAGAGCATGGGTTATTAAATAATCTTCATCAAACTTATATTACTTGGCATTATTTATAAGACAATCAGTTGCTTTTTACTTTTATTCTTTAAATAACAGTTTCAGTTGTATCAGTGTGAAATGCTGACAGACAATATACATATTCAAACTCACTAACTCAAGACATTTGGTAGAAACTTTGGGAATTAACTGATGGATGTACTTCTCTTTATTCTACTTGATTACAGCTAAGTCCATTTTTATTCTCATAATTGCCATTCATCTTTGAATGATTTTCCCAATGAAATATTTTGTTCTTGTCAATTTTCTTTTACTTTTAAAATTGTGGGATTCTTCAACTTATTAATATTTCTAAAATACTGAAGCAAAGAGGGTTCTATTTTATATCTTGTTTTCCATTTAAAGATCCTACATTTTAGAGTAATACTACTCAATAGAAATTTACTAAATAAAAATAAGAGTAATCTCCTGTTTTATTGTTAAAGGTAACCACTAGCCCACTGGCTACAATGCCTGTGAGAAGTAGATCACATCCAGGTCACTTTATGAATCCTGTGGATCTTCATAGTGAGGGTGTGTGGTCCACACTGATAAAGGCCAACTTATTTCCAAAGAACTCGCTGTCCATCTCCTTTATTGAAGTTAAGTCCTTGTTCTGCCTCCCAGCCTCATGCACCAAGAAATAATACTCAGACTCAAATTATATTTAAAATACCTTGGCCATATAGCTAGGCTCTACTCTGAGTAGATAACTAAAGATACCCATTTTTTAACCTATATTTTTCCATGTGGCTGGCTACATGAGATCAGGTACCTTGTGTCAATGTGAGTCAATAAAGCATATTTTAAACAATCTTTGGGAGATATCATATCTCCCTTTTGTTATATGAACATTTCCTTCAAAGTCCTGTTAGGAATTTTTTTTATAATGGCTTTATCTGTAGGACTGTATGCTATATCTAGAATAGACTTTGTGCCATAAAAACATAAAAATTGTTTTATTTGAAAACATCTTCCCTGCAGTTTTACTCTGTAAGGACATTTCCAAAGCAATCATCATCTCTAATAAATGTGTAATCTAACCATAGAACTCAAGGCAGAAGTCCACTGAAACTCTGAACATGTATCAGTTGTGTAATGTATCAACATATGTACATATCTCAATTCTCCAAACTCTATAAAATGGAACACAATCCAGTGTGTGTATTTGCTTTAAGTTAGTGTCAATAAGCAGAATCTAGATTCTTAATTCAATATATTGCATCTCTATGGGCTACCCTTCTAATTTCTCAAGCCCCTGTGGAACCTTGCTGTCTGGAACTGTTTTTTGATGTTATTGTAAGTTCCAGATTGGATTCCTATAAGGGTTTCCTATTTTGATGCAAAGATTCTTTCAAACTCTGTTATGGTCTCTAGTCTCTTATCTAATTTCTCAGTGTCTTCTTTCTCTAAGTCTCCTTTATTCTGATCTCTCCCAAAGAGGACATACAAAACGGTAATCATTGTAAAAATAGCCATTTGTATGCTGATAAATGAATCAAACTCATAAAGAGTCCAGATGCAGTGTATCATTGTGCTTCCCTCCATCCTAAACATATATATGGCATTTTTCTTTTTAATTTCAAATTTTCTCCCTAAGGACTTTATTTTCTTATATTTAAATATTTCTCTCTATGACTTTTTAAATATTTTCTTCCCTTTTTTATTATTCTTTAAATTCAATACCTTATTTGTTAGGCTGCTGGGACCTTTTCATTTGTACCTTGTGCTGCGTTAGCCCAAATGCAGCTGTTCAGCTGGCTTAGCACTCCTTGTTCAGCCTTTTGCCAGTCCTGGCCAGGCCTCTCCAACTTGCTCTGCTTCTGCTCAGCTTCAGTCCTTCATCCCCAGACATCCCCAATAGTCTCTGGCCTGTGTGTCCTGCCACGGCTTGGTTGTGCCAGAACCTCTTACCAGAGAGAGGGCTGGAGACTCAGTAGACCCAGACTAAGCTGTTGTTCCTCTCCGTATGCCTCAGTATATGTGGTGTCTTCCATAAAGAAGAGCGCTGGCTTTCCAGAGCAGCATGCAGCTCTTGGGAGAACCACAGCCTCTGTTTCTATCAGCACTGAGCGAGTCTGCCTTCATAATCAGTAGTAACTTGAAAGCTACGTTTTGGGGGAAGCATTTGGGTTATATCTCTACCTGGAAACTTATTGCAGATAGTTTGGTTTTATGCCTTATGTAAGGTGAGCCAAAATGAAGTACAACCAATTTAAGCTGATCCCTAACTAGCTTAAAAATAAATGAGACTCAGACTATGGTTATTTTATTTAGCTTTGACAATTGCGGGTAGGTAGCCCCTAAGCAGTAAAATGCTAGTTGCTCATCTCATTTCCTTTACATGAAAATGTGCATTTATAGAAGTATATGAAAGCAAGTAGAAAGAGAACTCATCAGTAAAATGGATAAATAGCAGCAATCAATATATTAAAATGTTGCTTCGAGTCTCAGTGACAGTCTCTTCTCTATAGTCTTTAATAATTATAAGCCTAAGAAAAGATCATTTTCTCCAAGTTCCATTTGCAATGTACCAAACCCAATGGTTTTATCATAGAAAGTAATATCCACTGTCAATCATTCATTTCTCTATGCACCAGTTCTAAAGTTAATTTGTTTTGATCCTGTGACTCTCTGTAACTCTGAAAGAAAATGGCTTTCTAAATACTGACAATTAACAATGTTACATGAAAATGAGTAATAGGATACTTGAAAATTAATAACATCACATCGTTATTAAAAAATAACTGTGGGCTGCCTCTAGCCATTGCAGGTATAGCTGCTGTGTCACATTGCATCAGTAAGAGACAGAGAGGAGAGAAGCTATGTCTATGCTCAGTGTTCTGACCTGTGAACGTCTGAATGATGAGTAGCCTAACCTTTCCTTTAAAAAAGTTAGCCTGAGATGACCACTAGTCTGGTGCCAGGAAGACCCAGCCGATCTTCCAGCATGGAGAACAAGCAAAAGACTAGAAGAACCCCACCTGGGACCACTGGCCACGGGCAGGAAAGACCCCCAAGATAGATAGCCTTTGAAAAGAGCCACTCAAGTGATCTGGGCCAGGAGCAAGCCTGAGATGACCACCAGACTGGCACTATAGGGCCCAGACAGGGAGCTAGCTTGAGATGACCCTTAGACAAGTGACATGTTTGTATTGGGAGCAGACCATGCCAAGACGACCCTTGCTCTGTGTCATAATGCATAAAGGGTGCATAGCATACTTGCGACCATTCCTGAGATGACCCAAGACACTTAGAAACCATGGACATCACTGAGAGAATCAAGTAAATGGTGTAGAAATTGAAGAAAAAGAGAAACAAAAGGATGTGGGCACAATGATGAGAGGCAGAATTGGATACTCAAGAGCAGTGAGGAAGAGCCTGTGAGTAGCCAGATATATTACCTGAGAACATGACAGGGTCCTGGTCTGTGCTGCTACCAAAGGCCATGTATGGGCCCATGGCTCTGCAGCAGCAGGGCCGTGTTGCCACCCAAGACAAACAGATGTCCCTGTTCTGGGCTGCCACCAGGGACATGTTGATGTCTATGGGCTGTGCAGAACTGGTCCCACCCCTTATATGGGCATCATAGGAGAGCTGGTCATGGGAGAGGCATGAAAGCAAGAGAGCTGACACAACCCCTAGACAGCTGCAGTACATAGCAGAGGGCCAGCACATTGTAGAAGTAGCAGGTGACCCAGCCCTGAGAACATGAACATGAGAGAGCTACTTACCAAGAGGGAGAGATATGATCCTCCCCACTTGCTCCTCACCTCAGGCAGGAGACCTGGCCCTGAGGTCATGAGAGCAGGACAACTCGCCCTGTCCCCCATCAGCTACAGCACTTGGGTGGTGGGGGTGTAAGCCTGCCATGAGGGTGTGATCGTGACAGTACTGGCCCAGCAACTTGTCTGCAGTACAGAGGCATGGTGAGGTAAAGATGTCCTTCCCAACTCTGGATCCTTACCACTTATGACAGGCAGGAGAGCCGGCACTGCACCTCACCTGGGGAGCATAGTCGAACTTGCCCTGGATGTGAGGATTGCAGATGTACCTGTCAGAGGACAGAAGCACGGGATAGCCAGCCCTGCCTCTTGTCTGTTATGAACTGGCCATGCAATAGGGAGAGATACTGCCTCCAGGTCATGAGAGTGGGAGAACTGGCTATCTCCCTAACCATCTGCCTATACCTCACCTGAGCAGTAAGGTAGAACTGGCCCTGTCTGTGGGGGTTACTGGGGACCCTGTCCTGAGGGCATGAGAGCTGGTGGGCTGATGGACTGACCAGTTCAGATATCACTCAGTGTCAGTTCCAGGGCTTTGGATTGGCCCATTCCAACATCTAACCTAATGATGACCACCTGGGGTGCATGAAGGGGCTGGTCCTATAGATCCAAACCTACAGTATCTCCAAGACACAGGGCAACAACAAGATATCTGAGAGGAGTCCCAGTAAGGTTCCAATATTGATAGTGTAGCAGAAGCCAGGGGCCTAGTACTAGACCAAAGAGTCATTGCAATGAATATTTGCAAGCAAAAAAAAAAGGGGGGGAACAAAATGTACACTGTGGGACATACTGTGACACAATACAGCTTCCACAATTAGGCTTTTATTCCCCTGCTGGGGGGAGGTGGTGCAAAAGTGGAAGGGAAGATGTGTGAGGTTGGAGTGCATGATGGGAAATTTACAAAGAACCAATAAAAAGATAAAAATCTAACAGTGAGAGTGGGGGATATCTCTGACTCCTTTGTCTAATCTTGGAACCCTCATCCTCCTACTGGATTGCCTCATTTCAGTTTTGACTCGTATCAAAACCTCATAAGTTTGTGCCTAGTCTTTTATTTTTTATTCAATATTTTATTTATTTACATTTCAAATGATATCCCCTTTTCCCATCCCCCCATTAATCCCCTATCCCATCCCTCCTCCTCCTTTTTTTTCTTTATAATGTTTAAATTACATGTGTTAAGGTCAGTTCTAGGTTGAGGAACTAGCAATACAATAGATGCAAATAGCCAAGGAATAAGCAAGACAATAGACCCAGATAGTCAAAGAACACACACAATAAACAGAGTCCTGTGATCACTATTTCTAAGGGCTTATGAGGATGACCAGAATTGAAACTTGTTTTTCCCTGTTTGTTTGATATTCCTGGGAGACCTGATATTTTCTGAAAGGAAAGGAAGAGTAGATCTGGAAGAGAGGGAATGTAGGGTGGAGGGAACTGCAAGGAGTGGAGGAAGGAGAAACTGCTGTTTGGATGTATTATATATAATATGAACAACTAAATAATCACGAACAAAAAAATGAATGGATGCTTCTGCTGGAAACTTATAAATAAGTCAGACACTGAATCATAGCGTAGTTTCGGGGAAGATCATTGGCAGCATGTATTGAGCTCAGTCTGACTCCCTCCCCTCAAAACCACTTAGAGCACTGGCCTTGAGACACCATCTCAGCATATAGTATAGTTGACTCAAGACCTCCATACTGATCTCAGGATATCTTCCTTAACCCTTTTGGTGAAGATATCAGGTAGTTTCCTGCTTTCTATTTAAATCCACATCGAGATGTTTTAATAAAGAATATAGTAAGTGGATCATATAAAATAAAGATTATATTTCCTGTTAGTAATCACTTTCAATTGCTTGCTGGCCAGTTTTATTTATTTCTGTCCTTTCTTTTTCCTCTTTCATGGTTCTGAAGATGGAACCCAGGGCCCCAGGCATGCAAAGAAAGCACTCTAACTAGAGAGTCTAGCCTCCTTCATGATTTCTAGAACTCAATTCATCCATAGTTTTTTATAACTTTCCTACATTCTTTTTAGTCACTATCATATGTACTCAGTGAGTGAATACAACTTTCAGAATGAAATCAAAACCCAGTCAAAAGGGATAGCTAAGAGTTGGCTATTCTGAGGAATAGGTAATGCAGAGACTATTCATAAAATATTCACATGGTAACCACAAGTCAGTGCTTTGGAATGCTGGAAAGTGTCCATTGGTTAATAATCAAAACCCAGGAACTCATGCTGAGCATGTGCAAGGTCATACTTAATTTTAAAATATGATGCCATCTCAACAGGGAAACATCAAATATAAACATCCTTTAATACTATTCATGTTTGAAGTGGGAAAGAGCAAAGTATATTTTCAACATTCTAAGAATGTAAAAAAGTTTATATAATTATTCTGTAGAGTGATTCGAGTATTTGTCCACCCATTTCCCATTTATTAATAAAATAAAAATTATCTATATGTACCAGATACTCTAAATTGAATATTAGTGACTAAAAATGAAAGCAATAACTGCCCCTTATATGTGCCAGATACTATAAGTTGAATATTAGTTACTAAAAATGAAAAAAAAAAAAGGCTGCCCCTTATGTAGCTTCTGTTTTAACAGAGCTGCACACACAACGGATAATAGCACTAAGGATGAAAGAAACTATATATCAAAATAATTCAAATAATAAGGGAGGAAACTAGAAACAAGGGGAAGAGGTATAGTGGAGTTTTGTCATTAAAATTAGGATGATAGGATCAACAATAGTGGAGAATGATATTTCAGCATAGGCTTAAATAAAATATTTTGGTTTTGTGCATTTAAAAATATAAATATTCAATTTCATATGCTGTTAAAAACAGATTGGAATTAAAGTCTAAATGATCAGTTCCCTAGAACTGTATTGAGTTTATTGTTGGGTTTCTATGTAGTCATTTGAGCTTAGAGCAAACATACAAGTGTAAGGTCCTTATATCAACTGTTCCTAGCAGAAAGTGTGTGAAAATCTTCCTTGCTTGGATTTCTACTCTGCATCATTGTCTATGGGACATTGTCCAGTCTTTCTATAGAGAAAACCTGTTGGTTTAGAACAGAAGAGAGCAAGGGCTTCAGGCAGAATCACAGAGCTGGCTGAAGACTTGGAAGCCACACATAGGGACCACACCAGAGTTTGTTATTCTAGGTATGGTTACATGAGAATTGTATTGCATAATAGTTTTGAAATTAGAATGTCAGTACAAAGGTGAAACCCAAGATGTCTGCATCTTAAAGTGAATTCATGACTCCATGAGATTACTCAGGCTGGTTCATATGACTATCAGTGTTCCAAAATAATGCAATGGGAGAGGTCCACCAGTGTAGTTGATCTAATGGAGAATTTCACATAGAGATATTAATGATGCAAATCTAGCAAGACTGAGTTCAAGAGAAGAAATAAAAAGCATAAAGAAAATCTAATAATGAAAGATTTTGTTGTTGTTGTTGTTGTTGTTGTTGTTTGTTTGTTTGTTTTTCGAGACAGGGTTTCTCTGTGTAACCCTGGCTGTCCTGGAACTCAGTCTGTAGACCAGGCTGGCCTGGAACTCAGAAATCCGCCTGCCTCTGCCTCCCAAGTGCTGGAATTAAAGGCGTGCACCACAACAGCCCTGCAATGAAAGATTAAGAGACAGCTAAAAAATACTGGCTACTCTGATGTTTGAAAGATTAGAAAGATACAAAGTAAGACATGGAAGAGGGGAAGGATGAAAAAGGAAGTGAAAACAGACAAATGGAAGAACAAATGGAAAAGTAACTGAAAGAGAGAGCCTTTCTGCAAAGCCTTAGAGGAGTAGCTATAATCCAGACAATAAATAATTGTGGGCAGATGTAGTAATACACAGCGGCAATCCCAGGCCTTAGGAGGTGGAAGCAGGAGGATCAGGAATCAAGGTCATACTCCTCTGCTATATAGCAAGTTTGAAGCTATCCTAGGCTAGAAAAGGAAAAGAGAAAATTAAATTGAATTGAATTAGATTAAAAGTAATATTATTAGAGACAAACACAGTAGTAAAATCCATACACTTAGCAAACACTTGTAGAGTGTGTACTATGAACTTG